AACCATAGTCTAGATCCTAGTGATATCATGAAAACGAGAGAAGTCTGAAGTCAACGTAGGAAGCTAAACCACAGGCCAGGATTAGGATCAGGTTAAATAGAGCTCCTTGGCCCACTGGTGTGGGTGGAGGACCCGGGGGAAGCTGGCTGAGGCCATTAGAGTTTTATAAGTGTCCCCATGACCCTGCCAGCTTGTAGAGAGTTTTGAGCTGTAAGGGCAATGGAGTACCAGTATTTACAGTATTATTATTATATTGTTTCACTCTCATTGAGTTACATCAGCACCAAATGGAAACAGTTCCTTTGAGCCCATAACATTTAAGCCAGCTGAACAAACTACATGTACAGTTACTCCCAAGAAACATTTACTGGTTTTGTATCCAAAGTGCCAAGAAGCAACTTCTCAGATTTTCTTATTTAAATCAACCAATGTTTTTAAATAGCCTAACAGTTTACTTTTTTGATGACCCAGCTCATATGTAAAATGAATATATATTTAGTATTAGTAAAAATTTAAATTAGTTGGTATACACATTGAATGCATTTGTCTTTTTAAATGTGCATACTCCAGTCACCTTCATGTGTTCAGGGATATAAATATAGGATTCAGTTTCCACAGCCATTTATGTGCCAAACTTTGAAAAAGCTTTTCAACAAACAGTGATTTCAATAGAAATCTAGTACATAACTCCATAGAAAGCAAACACAAAAAAGGCAATGTATATCTGAAGTAAATTTACCTCCCAATGTGGATGCATATTCACCTTAAGAGTATTTGTTCGCGTGTTAAGAGCTAAATGTTTGTCTAGGATATATTTGTCTTACCTCATGAAAGCCATTATCCTATCATGGCTAATGTATCATGCAGCTCTGTGCTTCCTGGCCATTCCCTTGAAATCAATGGCAATATTTGTTAACTGAAAGCACTGAAGATAGGTTTAACTGTTCCATGCTCTGCTGCTAAAGGGGTGTGTGGGAAGGGGGGGAAAGTTGAGAGATAACAGCAAATACTCATATTACAAAGCAAATTCCCCTTGTAGAAGTAGGTCAAAAGTGCAGCTGATGTGCATTTAGACAGAATATGGAGAGAGAGTAAAAATAACATTTTAACAAAATTTGCTAATCAGATAATAATTTTGTAGTTAAGATTACAGATGGAAGACATCTTAATGAATTCCTTGGGGGCTTAGTTTTTCTGATTTTTTCTTATGAGAAATATTCACTGAAGCTGCTGGAAGTTCTCTAGATTCTAGTTTACAGAGTCCGTAGTATCCTGTCTTGATATTATCATGGAGTGAGAATGCTTTTCCTTTCTGTGGAAGGTGCTGTAGATATGGCCTCATTAAATCTACTGGTCCCCCTCCTATCTGTGCAGAAATGAGGGACATTAAAATGAGAATTGCTTGCTTTCAGTGGATGCACTTACCTTTTATTACACAGGAAAGGACAGAAAAAAACCCATGGCAATTAGAAAAATAAATTTTCTGCAGACAAGGAGTAAATGTTTGAAAGCCCTGGATATTTTGAGGTGTATAAAATGATTAGAAGTAGGACATATTGTTGCATTATTTTGTACACAGTTCTCAGCAAATATTCAGTTTTTTGGGCTTGTTTCCATGAGAAAGAGGAACCGCTGAGAGTCAAGTGCCTGCTCTGTGTAGCACTTCTTGTTTCTGGGCAGTGTGAACAAGCCCAGCCCACTTCCGCAGAGCAGCTTAGACACCACAAGGCTTTAGGCTTGCTTGCATTGCTATGCATGTCTTGTCTTCTGTGAAGTGCCTGTTCCCATCTTCCTTGCTTTCTCTGCTCCCTCCTCTTCCACAAGAGCCCCTGGGACCACATGACACCTTCCATGGTCTCCAGGAAGGGTATTTCTGTTAGTGTAACAATCTCAATCCAGTAGGGCATGTGCATGTCATGCACCTATCTTCAGTTAAAGGAATCTGGCATTCCCATCAGCCTCGGTATAGTATGTGCATCCCAATAAATCACCAACTGGTAATCTCAACCGACTGCAGAGCAGTACATTGCACAGGAAGGGGCAGACAAAGATCAAGCTTACTTTGTTTTTCTTAAACACAGAGTAGTATAACAAAGTTCAAAATTACAAAGTGTTTGTTTAAATTACATCTCTCTGTGGAATGAAAAGGGCATATTTGTAACTGTCATGCAGTTAGCCTGTAGTACTCAGTGCTGTATAGCAATTGAATAAATTGATGTTTTACTAAATGTTGAGATATTTATAGAAACAAGAATAGTAATGCCACTTGCACTGAAATTGTAGTTGTAAAATTTGCTGTAGGCTCTAATAGCTGTGGACACAACCGGACAAAGGATATTTCACCCTTCCCCAGTATGACAATTCCTTTATTAGGTCATTTGAACTTTTGTTCACTTCAAGGGAAATGTGAAGGGTCACTGTACAAAATTTCTGTTCACATTTGTCTAGGCTGCTCTCCATTCTGACCTCACTGCAGTTAGGTTAGGGGAGAGGGCAGTGGTTTCACAGATTCAAGTTTCTTGCATTGCATGTGTTGTTGAATTACTGTAAAATGTTAGCTCTTGTGGGTCCTGAGAACAAAATTAAGAGGGGAAGAAAGAGCAAAAGGGGAAAAAAGGCTTCTGAGTGACTTGAAATGCAGCCAAGAATAAATATAATGAAACTTGTCTCAAAGTCCCATGCTGTAGCACAGTTCTCACAGATCAATTGCAGGGATGTCTCTAGCTGAGAAAACATACCTGATGTTTTCAGAGGCTGGCTGAAATAAAAAGAAGATTCTATTTGTATGCTGTATTTGTTTTGGTTTGTTCTCTTTTTTTTCCCTGAAAAAAAAGGAAAAATTGATGGTATTGACTTTTTTTTTAAACAAAACCTGTTTCCTGAATTGAAGTGGCTTGCATAGAAATTTTAGGCCTTTTTTTCATCTGCATCTTTAATTAGTGTTGGATAACAGAATTGCCTGCCCTTTGGAGTGCTTACTGTGAAGGATCACTGTTATTAGGTTTCTTTTCTGTCTCCTGCTTAAGTGAGAGAGGTTAGTCACGTAGACACTAAAAGAGCCACTGCAGAGTGGCATGACTGTCCTCAAAGATCTGTCATACCTAAATTCAGGTGTTCGCAAGTGTGAATGTTTATCAGGTGTCTGAACTTCCACTGTAGTCTGTAGAAATGTAGTCAATACAGGCTGTAGAGAACAGTAATTTGTGTCCTTCTGCTGTATATTCCTTAATTCATCAAATCAATTATTCTAGTCTCCCTAGTTTGTATTGACAAGATTTCTATTGTCTTTAATGGCTGCTTAGATGTCTGTCTCCCATGTAGCATTTATAGTCAAAGAAAATAAATCTGTACATTGAGGGGTATATTTATATGACCTTTGCTTTAGGGTGACATAAATAATATTTTTAAGTGGGCTGTTTCTTTCCATGAACTGTTGCTCAAGTTAGATGACTGCTTCATTTTTAGATACACTGTACACACCTCTATTTTAAGGGAAGACAAATTCCTTAATTTTACTTCTGCATGGCTGAATATCAGTAATTCTAAACTTCATGGTAGATTTGCTTTAGCCTCAGTGTGTCTCCCAAATTAACACATCTTCATTAAGAACTGAAATTATGCAAAGCTTGTACTAATTTGACTAAGTAAATGCTGATGTTACATCTATATTTTATTGACTACACATTCTCAACAAATGATGTAGAAGAAACTATCTCACAGATTCACATAAATGACTGCATGTGACAAAGTGTGCAGTTGGAGTTCTAGGGGAAGAATATCCAGTCACAGAACATTGCTATGTATCTTTAATGATGGCATAATGTAAACTGTAATGTGTGTATCCAAATCACACACTGAAGAATTCTGACACCAGATTCATAAATATTGAGGGTTTGGGCATTTTTTTCCTCAGTTTCCAGAGGAAAAGTCAATACAAGCTGTGAATAACTTAACTCTACAGAAGCAGAAAACTAAATGTCACTCCCCTAATAACCCCACACTATATTAACCTAATAACTTCCCTAATAGCCCCACTCCCAATCTTTCGATTTTGATGGAGTTGTCCAGACCTAGGGACAAAGTTTGAATTTTAGGCTCCGGCACATGCAATAAATCTACATCCGTATGTTGCTTACAACACCCACGTTATTTTTTTGCCCTCCAGAGTTCCAAATGTTCAAATTTCTTATAATGAGGTATAATGAAGAATTAGAGCTTGCAGATATTGAGGCTTTCTGAAAACAAACAAAAAAACAGCTGTTGTTATTCTTGTTGAAAATGACAACTGTTCATAGTGTCATTTCTCTTTCTGTAGAAAACAAATAACTTGATTGTTTGAGTCGGTTTTCACTGTAGAAGAGTGCCAAGAGATGAAAACTTGTTAGAAGGGCAAGAAGACATTGGATTTTAGATAAATGGTATAAAAACTGAGGAAATACTGTATCAGATTGGTTTTTTTCATTTAGAACAGTCAGTATGGTAATAAGAGCTACCCACATGCATCCATGAAACACCAGAGAATTTCTTCAGGGTTATGTGTTACATGACTATGCTGTGTGTTTGCTTTATCTAAGAGGTTGGTTGTTGTGGTGGCCAACAGATGGCCTGAAGGCCTCACAGTTATAATTAATCCCAATTTTATAACTGAAACATAACTAATTATATAAATACCTTAGTTATATAACTTGACCATTATGGACCATTTGAGAGCAGGCCTAGGGTGTTGGGGATGTGAGCAGCTATTGGCTGGTTGGCTGGGTGGCAGCTGGTTCAACTAATAGGGATTGACCATGTAGACCTTCAGATCTATATAAGGAGAAGAGGACTCAGTAAAAGTTGGCTGTTGGGCATTAACCTTGGCTGTTGTGCATGAACTTATGTTGCATTCCTGCCTCCAATATCAAAATGACACTTGGTCTCTTAGACGGCCCTAGTCATACTTGCTGATGGCCCAAATCCTTTGGACCTGTGTAGAGGTTCCTTAAAAAGCAGCATATGCTATGGCTAGAATTATTGAATGGCACATTCAAAAAATCAAGGATCCAAGGTTTCTACAAAAATTGAAAAAACTCAGCTGAAGCTGGGACCTTCCCACATGTCCGAAAGTATTGTTACAGTTATGACGACTCAGTTGTGCTTCCCTCAAGAACCTACTAGGCCTCTGAATCAATTTCCGCCTACAGGAAAATCCTTTAAAGATTATAATACCTAAAAACACCCTTTAAAAGATAAAGTAATAACATTATAAACAAGTGAAGTTTCTTTAGGCCTAGAATCAATGTTTTAGCTTTTATACTGCCCATAGAATCGGAGAAGCAAGTGTCACTATCTGAAGATGAGAAAGATGGATCCTAATGAGTTCTTAGCTGGAGACTGATAAGACTTCCTACATGAATGTTTGCCCTTCTGTTTGGTTTACTACCACAGAGGGATACCCACAACTGGTTTTAATAAAGTGCTTTGCAATCTTGCTTACATGACAGCAGTATAATCGTGTGGCTGCATTGCATGAAATGTATGAAGTAACTGAATAAAGCAAACAAATGTTCCACCCACACAACTGCAACCTAAAAAACCCACTTAAATGTTTAGACATTCTGTGCTGTGTGACAACTTTTAGTGCAGTGTTTAATGAGTAGGGACAGGCCCTTTGCATAAAATATTTCCCTGTACAAATATCTATCTGAACTGTGCGAATGAGGGAGGTTCTTGGGGAAGTCTTGTCTTGATAATAAATAGATTCTTTGCCTCCTTATTTCTCTTCTCACAGGTACTGCAATGAGCATTTGTTGTGCACCCCTCATGTGTTTTGGACAGGCTGGGGGCCATGGGAGCGTTGCACGGCTCAGTGTGGAGGAGGAATCCAGGCACGGCGCAGGACATGTGAAAATGGTCCTGACTGTCCTGGCTGCAGCATGGTAAGCAATTTCCAGCTTTCTCTTCATCAAATATCTATGGCCATATACCACAGATGTCTCTATGTCATAGAATCATAAAATCAGTTCAGTTTGATAGGGCCTCTAAGCTTATCAAGTCCAACCATTAATTCAGCTCTGACAACTCCTTCACTGAACCATATTACCAGGTGCCTCATCTATGTGTGTTTTAAATACCTGCAGGGATGGTGACTCTGCCACTTCTCTGGGCAGTCTGTTCCAGTACCTGACAACCCTTTCAGTGCAGAAATTTTTCCTAATATCCCATCTAAACCTCCTTTGGCAAAACTTGAAGTCATTTCTGCCTGTCCTAACACTAATGCTCTATGCCCATAAAACATCTATGTGTGTCTATAAGCTCTAACGCTAACATGAGTGGTCAGCAGACTGTTTTTGTCTCTGTGTTGCTTGTGTGTGCTGAAATCCACACAATTTATCAATCAGAAATATATATAATTCAGCTTTTTCACACTATCATCTAGAATTTAAGCTTTTTGAGGTGAGGTTGGTATAGATGTAGATGCGTCATTGCATGTTTATAGTGTTTTTTTATTTTTATCATCAGAGTGCATAGGAACCCTAGCTATGAGCCTAGGACTCCAGTGTACCATGTTCTGTACAGCAGAGAAAAAGCTAAATTTCACATCTAAATACATAAGAAGCCAATCAGTGAATTCATGGAAGCACAGGAAAGTGCTGAGGTGAGACTGAATAGCAGTAGTGATCTTGGCACAGCAGCAGCCTAGCAGCTGTCAGGGTTTGAATCTACAGTGGGATGATTTGAATGAGTAGAAGTGCTTTATTGATACCCAGTTTATTAAGAGAAACATATGGGAAAACATGTAGGGGATTTTTCTTATATCTGAACATATAAAGGTATGTAGGTAAAGAGGTAGAAGGTTTTTTTTGTTGTTTTTTCACAGTTAAACCAATTTTTATGTCTTAATTTCAGAGAGGTCTAATTTTGAGGTTTGTCATAATCTGTGGGCTGTTTGTTAGATTGGCAGTAATGCAATACTAAAGAAAGGATAATTGATTACCTATTTCTAATTTGAAGATTTTGTGTATTTTCCCAGGATTTGTTCTCTTTTTAAAATTTATTCTGGTGATAGAATTGCATTTTCCGTAGATTAAAAACATCCAAGAGGCTTGTTCTTTTATTTCAGTTGAACTTTAAGAATTAACCCAATAACTTAGAATTCTATCAAGTTTTCCAAAAAATTTGTCTCTTCTGGTGGTACACCAAAAAAGCAGACATATGGTCTAGATATATTGGTAAACCTTCCTGACTTGCACTGAAAAGAGCACAATATGAAGGTTTTCTCCCTCATTTGTTCCTATTTATCCTATAATAATGTTTGTGTAGTACAGCAGCATTTTATTTTGCAAAGAACCTTGCCATGGTCTTAAACCAAAAATATGCGGCTCTAATTTTCTTGGAAAGGTCTATGAGGAAAGTAGGAAAACCTTTAGTGTCAAAATTTCTTATTATAACTAATTTGAGATTAATGGTGCTGAGGTGTATAATTTATTAACAGTCTCAGCACATACTCTGCTGCATCATAGAATAGTTACCAGTTCAGCTATGGAAATGTTCTGGAGATTTTTTGTTGATTAGAAAATTATCGCATTGATATTTTCAAGCTTTGGAGTACATAGTTGTCTTGCTAGAACTTATGCACCAATGGAAACCCATCCAATGTAGAAATCCTCTAGAAACCCCAGTGGTCTTGCAAGGAATGTGGTATGAACTCTGTGTTCTGTTTAAGTTTCATTGAATTTGAACCTGTCTTGATTCAAAGGCTTTGCAGCCATAGCAGGGCCTAGTCACTAAGAGCAGCTGGAGAAAAAGTACTTTATTTCTTCTCTGAGTTTGTTTCATTAATCTAAGAAAGTGCAATCAGAAATAATTTTATGCCTTCTTGTAATAATTGGATGGATTAAATATTTATATTAATAAGGCTTTATGAATGAGGAGCACAAGTATGAAATTTGCTGGATGTTCTGCTCCAACCAAATTGTGGTTTTATTGTCATAGGTATGTATTTTTCCAAACAGAATTATTAATTTTTACCATAATAAATAATGGAGAAGTTAATGTGTCTTCTTACTACTGTTTTCCAGTCTTTACTGGTTATAGTGATACTCAGCTTAGGTTGTGCAAGATATTTAGTGAATTTAGTTTACTTCAAAAAACTTTTATCCTGAATATATCTGAGTACTTGAGAAACTAAAAAAATCTAAGGAAGGGTTGCAGTGAAAGTGACAGTAATCTATACTATCTACTGTTTGTTTTGCATGGAGTAAAAGGTGTTATGAGCCAAACATTTACCAAGTGTATTAAAGGCATTGTTGAGAGTAGACTCAGAGACTTAAAGTGCTTGGTTCTCTCAACCATTAAATGATAGCTTTAAACTATGAAGAGCCTCTCCAGGTTTCTGGCTTACCTTCTCCAGTGAGGATGAACTCTGAAACCTTCACATCATTTGAGGAGCATGAGTTGCAGCTGAATAGTTCAGTGTCTGTGGCCTGTGAAGAGGAGAAGAAAAATGGGTAGAGGAATGGAGAACTTATTATTTAAGATTATTTAAGATATAGAATATTTAGATAGTAACTATGTTAGGCTTCATTTCATCTTGAAATGAAAAGAAATTTTTGATGCATCAGAGGTGTAGAATGGATGAAATGCAGTCTTGCAACCTCTTTCAACTGTGCCAATTTGTTGTTTTTAGAACTCTAGTTTTTAGGGAATTGTAGGAGATGCTTTCTGGGGACAGTCAGAGACACAGCAAAGACCTCTATAATCGAGTTAGGTGTTAGACGTTTATTTCAGGGCATGGGATAAAGAGAGAGAGAGAGAGAGAGAGAGAGAGAGAGAGAGAGAGCCTGCTATGAGCCAGTAGATAGAGCTCAAAGCGGGCTCAGAGAGAACAATACAAAAGGGGGTAAAATATGAATACATGAGTTTAAGACTTAAGATTGCTAAGAAAGAGAGTAACAGAACAGAAGGGAGAGAGCCGGGGGAAAAAGAGTAGCAAGAGAGTCAAGAGTGCAGAAAGCGTGAGGCAAGAGGGCTAAGAGAGACTGAGAGACCAAGAGAAACAAGAGAGACAAAGAGAACTAAGAGAAACAAGAGAGCATAGTAAGAGAGACCAAGAGAGAGAACTCTCTTTTACAATTACTTATATAACCTATATATTTGAATATTCTATTCCTTCACTAACCAATCTAAGTATACTAATACAGTAACATTTGTGTGCAACCTATAGAAATCACAGTTTTTGCATATTTTTAGTTATCTCAGGGTCCTTCAGAGCTTTCCTTATAAGGCTAGGAAGAGGGGTCTCATCTTGGTTTTACTGCAGGAAAGAATGTGTTCTGGCATACCAGCCCGGTTTCTTTGAATTATTCAAACTGTGCTATCATTTGTATTTCTTCCTTAGCCTTTCTGGCTAAGGAGTCATATTTATAATTTCTTTCTAATTCTACCTTCCCAGCAGGGAATCATGGTAAAAAACCAACAACAACTGCTTTTTATAAACTTAAGAAAGGGAGTCTTACAGTATGCTTGCCAGAAGTATCAGGGGACCTGATTTAATTTCTTATGAGAACCCGCCTCTTCTGTTTTCCGATCTCCAACCTGGCTGTGAGACTGCAGTATAGCCAATCCTAATCTATTTTCCTGTCCTTATTTTGCAGCTTTTGCCATATTAATGGCTATTTTCTGTGTCCACCTAATGATTTATACCACATAATTTTTAATGAAAAGTGTTTCTTCATTCTAGCTTGATTGTATTGTTCCTATGCTGCAATATCACACCAGGCAGCTACTGCCTGTGCTTGTCTTTTTGCATTTTTCATATCAATTGGTTCCTTGACTTTATCTGTCTTATAGCAGATATCAGCCAAGCCACTTGAATATTTTTTATCAGGACTCAGTAGAGTTGCCTACCATTAATTCCAACTTATTTTATAAAATAATAATGATAGATCTTTTGATGCATATAAATATTCCACAGAGAGAAAACCATGACGGTATCTTAAAGATGCATCTGTTGCTTAAATGCACTCAATACATTAAAATGGGTGGCCAGTAGACTTAGGACTGAAGGTATTTTCACTGAATATAGAAAACCATAAATCAATATGATACAGGAGAATTAGACCATAGAGACTCATAAAAGTCAAAAAGATTGTGTCCTGGGGTGATTTTATGATGCTTGTATCCCGAATAGTCTTGTTTATGTTAGATGTTAAGTTCTGCACCTTTAAGACTGGATCTAAGAGTGAAGCAGGGAAAAGAAGAAGCCGCAGTTTGTATTCAGAATGAGCCCTCACTCCTCCGCATCCTGCTCCTGGACCATGTTGTCTGCAGCACGGACAGACAGCAGGACATTTACATTTAGTTAGTTCTTAGCTAGCTGAGGCAGAGAAGTTCCCTGGACTGGTTTTTCCTTTTTTTCTTGGATCTGCTCAAACCTGCTCTGGACTGCAAACCCGGACAAACCCTGGGAGCTCATGCCTGTGGCCCACTGGGGCCTGGGTCTCAGCACTTTCCAGTGCAGGAGGGACTGATAAGAGACTGAGTGAGCTTAGCTACATCCCATGAAAGGACTTTTTCTGGATTTGCCATCTCATCAAACAGCAAGATGTTTTATTGTTTAATATTATTCAATTTCTGTTAAATAAACAGCTTTTTCCACTTTTCTCCAAGGAAATTTTTTTCCCGAACCAGTTGGGGGAGGAAACCAGTTGGTGTGCAGTCCCTTAGGATATTACTAATATAGACCACTTCGTATCTTTCTGACACTGTTCTTCAAGAAGGTAAAAGGGGTTTCTGACAATCACAATGGAGTGACTTCAAAGTAAATGCTATTAAATTCATGATAGAGGGGGTACATAGAGTTATTATTAGCTATATTAATTTCTAGATCTCTGTTACATCAATGTTAGGTTTACCCATTTTTTTCCAATGGACATAC